TAGGAACAGCCAGAGACCACCTATGGGGCTGGTCCACCATCTTTAGTGGTCCTCCGAGGCTCCTGGGGAGTGCCACTGTGGAGCGGGGGTAGCACGCTGAGACTTCTCCAATAAAATGTGCCATAGGATGGAGGGGATGGGCTCTCTTCCTCCCCAGGTTCCTCTTCCCACTTGGAATGGTATCCTCACCCTCCGGACCCGTCTCCGGCTCCCAGGATTGGGCTTCCTGACTGGTACTATAAGGCTACACCCACATCAGCTGGCTACGGGAAGGCTAGAAGTGCCAAAGTCTGTCGGGTCCAGAGTAGGCTGTTGCCACTTGCTCACTGTCCAGCCACTCGCCAAGGATTCTGTCCCTGGCTGCAGATTCCTCTTGCCCCCACACACTCCCAGCTTAGAGCTGGCTGCCTCTTCCGAGCTGAGTCATGGCATCCCGGTCGGGGTTGGGGAGACTCACTCCACCCCCACTCTTAACCCGGCATTCCAAGTCCACAGGGCAAGGGTCCCGAGAGTCACACCACCAGCCTGGAAAGTTCTTCCACTTTCTTGTAGAGAGAAAATAATAACCAGGTTTGGTTCGTCCCATCCAGGGGCTGTGAAGTGCCCCTGATTTGTAAGACAGACAAGACCACGAAGCAAGTTTGTGTTCCCCTTTTTGCCAGTAATTGAGCGGCTCACACCCCCTGAGTCTCTCACGGGGCTCCCCACGTCTGGGACAGGCTAAGGGAAGTGACCATTCTGTGGAGGGGCGGAGCCCTGCGGAGCTAGACTCCAGACAGTGAGCAGGTGCTGGGAGTGGGACTCCAGGCAGGTGGGCACAGAACCCATCCTGCTGAGACCCAGTGGGGCTTCTCATTTCCCTGCCCCACGCCTCCTTTTCCCCACCTGTACAGTGAGCCTCAGGAAGGGATCAGTTAGATGTTTCCTGGCTGCAGGGCATTGACATTCCAAGATTCCGACCTTGCGACCCCAGGACCGGGCCTCCTGCTTGGGTATCTTGTTTATTCAGAACTTGATGGAACTGAAGCTGGTGACACCAAATGCACCAAGTGCCCCTTTGAGCCACAGCTGGCTTTTCCCCCTCCTATGAGGTTACATTTCTGCCTGGCCTGCTCTCTGCCTCCAGTCCGTGCCAACAGAACCTTGCACATTTGAAACCAGCTCAGCAGCATCTCTTAAGCCTGTGCGGTCTCATTCTTGGAACGCGGCTTTCTCTTCCTGTCATCTGCCCTCCTGCCCTCCATAGTTCATCCCTGAAATTTGCCCCTTGGGCCCCTCTGACATGCAGTCACCAAGTCCCATGGACTCTCAGCTACATTAATCTCAAAGCCATCTGTTTCGTCAGGCCCCACCCACTGCCCTCTGCCCAGCTTACAGGGGGTGGCAGGCAGTGGAGAGACACACTGCTTTATTTTGGTCTCTACTTTCCTCTTGTCTGGTCTGCATTTCTTGGCAATTTGCCAAAGCAGTCTCCACCTTGGTTTTCTTAGCTACAAAATGGGCATAATTATTCCCTGCCCCTGAGCTGTCAGAGGATGAAGTGAGACAGTGCATGCCAAGTACCACAGCAAATGAGGCTTTTAGCTCCTTGTGCAATGCTGTGTACAGATACAGGCGACTGTGGTCCTGTGCACACGTGTTCTGTATATGTCCCATGGGGGGGTAATACGAGTGACTGTCACAGACGACTGTGTCTCTGATGGACATGTGGTAAAGCACCCAGGCATCGGTCTGTGCAGTGGGCACATGTGCTGAGCACTGGGGGAGCTGTGTGCACGTGTGTCCTGTGTGGGCACGCACATGGTTCGTGCCTGCCTGAGGGTTGGGCACCCATCCGAATAGCTACACATGTGTACGCTTGAGAAGAGCGTGTGAGAGAGAGCGTAGGCAGCATCTGGGCTGTGTGCATGTGTTCACCGTGTGCAGGCCTCCCTCTGGCAACAGTGCAGCGTCCCCCCTCCTTCCCAGACTACTTGTGTCGTGGGAGCCTCGGGACCCCGAGGGAGGAAAGCTGATGCTGGCGGATGTGGCCAAGATGGGCTGGATTTATTTAGATTAAGTTGGTGGGAAAGGAGTGGGGAGTTGTATGTGCCTGTGAGTGGGAAGGCTGAGGCTCCGGGGATGACTCCCAAGCATGCTTGCTCCCTTGGGCCTCACTCTGATTCCCTAAGGAGTGCCTCAGATCTGTTGGGAGAAGCTGACCTGACCCCCTCTTTAGACCTTGCCTGAACGGGGGCAATGCTGAGGGTGTTCTGACTGCAAGGAGTGGGATTTAGGAATTTTCTCCACTATAGGGGACTCACTGGGTGGGATAGCATGGCAGGTTGGGGGTGCCTGCCTCTTGATGTGGTGCCCATGGTGACCTAGGTAACTTTTTTCTGAAGCACAACTCCCTCTCTTGAAGAAAGGAAGTTGTCAGAGGCATGCCATCAGGGCAAGTCAGCTAGCTGCCTGGTCCTTCCTGGGGTTGCTCAGAACACAGCGACTTCCAGAAGCACAAAATGTTCCATAAAGCACCACGTGGAAAGCTAAGATTGCGCAGAGACATTGAGATGGCCAGGAGGTTATGCTGGGTGCCTGGGCTCCATTCTGATGAGTCCTCGACATGTAGTTTGCTGTCCACGCCATCCCAGAGGTACCCCAGGTTCAACTGATGGGAAGTCACCTGAAAAACCATCCAACTCCCAGTTGTACTGAGGAAGAAACTGAGGCCATTTAGACAATGTGTCTGAATCTACACACTAAGTCAGTGGGATGTGGGTCATGGACTCCCAGGTACTGTGGCCTTAAACATGTCTGCAATCCTGACCAATCATTACTTCCTCAGGTTACCCCATTGAGATTAATGGTAGTCGGAACCTTCTCTTTGAGTAGTCAAAAAAGGTAGAGACAGAGGTAGGTGGACCCTATGAGTTCAAGGCCAGCCTGGTCTACAGAGCGAGTTCCAGGACAACCAGGGCTATATGGAGGGACCCTGTCTCAAAAAACCAAACAAAACAGATGACCATCACAACCTCTCTGTGAGTGGATATGCAAATGAGTCCCAGAGCAGGCAGGAGACCCAGTCATTGTCACAGCGGGTTCAAGGATCTGGTGAGGGGAGCTGGTTTCAAGAGACAATCAAGCCAGCCTGATGCTAGCACTGACTTGCATTCTCCTTCTGGAAGCTCATGTGCCTAGTCTGTCCTCCCCACAGCTGGAACCCACTTTGTGTCTATGTGACCTGGTCATGATTCTGGGCTTCTCTGGGTCTCTCTCTACTTCCCACTTGGGAAGACTCCTTCCCAGCTTAGAGTCTTTCTTTCAGCTCCCCCAGCCTTCTTCCCTGCAGGAGAGGGCCTGAGAAGAGACAACTGAGTGCTATCAAGTAGTAGGGCTGGGGTCTGCATGCCGCGAGCTTCTAACCTACATGGTGAGCACAGCCTGCCAGAGCCAGGCCAGCCTCCTTGCAGTGACCCCCCATCTCCTGGCCAGCAGGCCAAATTCCTCCTTTAGAATAATAAACAGTGTGGCCAGCCAGGGAGGCTGGGAGAGGAGGGGAAGAAGGCTAGGGTGAACCCTCCCCCAGCCTGGGCTGCTAATGATTTTCTTTGGCCTGCATCTCTGGCAGGAAGTGGGGAGCCAGAGGGGCACCCACCAAGGGGAAGACGGGCTTCTGTAGGGCCTGTTGGCGCTGCCTGGGTACCCGATGCTGTCTGTGCTGCCGAAGGAGGCCTGGTGTCCAGCTGCAGGGGCCAGCCCTGGAGGGATGCGAGGGGAATGACTGTAGAGGGGTATCAGGAAGGTTTGGACCAGTAATAATTCTAAGGGGGGTGACCCCGAGCCTGAGGGAGCACCCAGGCAGGCTGTCTGGAGAGAGGGTAAAGGAGGGAGGAGAAGCGGTCTACAGAGTGAGTTTGTGTTAAACAGAACTTTGGGGGGCTTTGTCTGTGTCTCACGCACCATGTGTGACCATAGCCCTCACTGGTGGCACACTCATCAGCTCCTTGCTGGCTAGCGGCTCTGTCCACAGGCTCAGCCTTGGCACAAGAGATGGGCAGTGGAGTTCATGAGACCTGACTCCTCAGCCCTGGGGAGGAACCTAGAAAGGGCAACATGGCAGAGCGGAGACAAACTGGGCCCACAATCTCAGGATGCTCCTTGTTGCCTTGTCATGTGATTGCCTCCTGAGTATTGGTGATTGATTGCTAGTGAAGGAAGGACCAATCAAAGAGTCACCCGTCTGTGTCCCTGCTCCAGCACCCCGGTTCTCAGATCTTCTCTCTGTCTTCCTCAGTTCCCACCATCGAACTCTCTGTTTCCCTCTCAGACAGGCCCTGCTAGGAACCTTGTGGAAATGTCTTTGCTTCTCAGAGCCTCAGTTTCCCCATATGGACGTTGAAAGTTTGGCTTCAGTGCTCTCCAAGGACCTCAAAACCTGATAAATTAGATGGGTCTGAGAACCTGGTTCCTCTCTCTCCCGGGCCTCCTGGGCAGCGCTGTGTTGTGTGTGTGTGTGGGGGGGGGGGGGTTAGCCCACTCCCACATTCCTCAGTCCTGACCCTCACCCCCTCCCCACTTCCCTTCCCACAGCCTGTCCCATTTCCTGTTGTGCTTGCGGAGGGCGCTGCGGGAGTTCTCCAGGCTCTGGCTCGCCCCCTCCTACTCCCCCAGGCCTTTCATCACACTTTCCCAAATATTTGTCCTGGCAGATAAGTGCCTGGTATTGGAACTGTCACCCGGAGGACAGGCTGTCAGAGCTGGCAGTCCCCTAGCTAGCCCAATTTCCCCACCTCCAAGGTAATACATAGGGAACCTAAGGCCCATGGGCAAAGGACACACCCAAGGCTACGTGAGGGTTGGAAACAGAAGGGAGAGGGCTTGGGGCCCTGGATGTCTTTGCAGCCTTGAGACATGAGGTTAGAAACCCAAGCAGGGTTGACTCTGCAGGAGCCAGGTCTAAGGTGGGCCTGGCACTGCCTTTGCCTACCCTGGGCCCTGATCTCTGTTTAATTTTACAGGGCACCATGGGGTTTCCTGGTGTGATGCCAGCTTCAGTCCTCAAAGGTAAGGAGGCTGGGGGGTGGGCAAAGATGAGGATCCCAGGGATGCCCTAGCGAGCCGGCGGTGGTGATGCTCAGGAGCACTAAGACTTGAGAATCTGGAAGCTCTGTAGTATGCTCGAGCCTCAGTTTCCCTGTATTTGGAGGTGGTCTGTTAGATCCCCTCAGTAGGTCACTCCTCGTCCAGAACCACCAGCCCAAGTTCCCCACTTATCCCTCTGCACCCACAGCGCCTCTGAGACAGTCCCCCATCCCATTTTGGTCCCGCTGGATACCTGCCGTAAGCTCTCCAAGATCTGGGCAAATGCCCAGGCAACCAGGGATGAGCCAGTGGCCTGCCCTACTGACCGTGGTTTGATGGCCCTGCTGACTGGCTGCACCTGTCCTGATTTTCATTACCAGGGAACACGAGGGTGTGGCCTTTAAAACCCTCCCTGTGAACACTGATGTATCATGGTGAAGGTGGCTGCTTCTCCCGGTCCTCCGCCAGGGGACGTCACCAATCATCTAACATACATATCTTAACCCCCTCACCTGCCCCATCCTTCAAGCCCCAGGGGCCTCAGCGGCTCACTGAGGAGCTACAGAGAGGATTAGGGAGTGACCTGAACTGCAATGCAGGAACTGGAGGCCTAGGGATTGCTTCCACAGGATTTCCTGCCCCATTCTCCTGCTTACCGCCTACACATAGCATAGCTGAACGGCTTAGAGGCCAGAGTCAAAAGAGGCAGAGACCCAGGACAGGAACCCTTGAGGGCCTGACAGTGGTCAAGTGGCCTGTACGGAATGGGAAGATGTGCAGACAGGCCTCCAGGACAACTCTGGGGGAGTGGCTAAGATCTTTTTTTCCCTGACATTTGACCCTCCCTTCCACAAAGGCCAGTTGTTGCTGTCTCTGCTGTTGCTCCTGGGACCACCGACCTGCCAAAGCCTAGTCATCACGCCCCCTGGGCCGGAGTTCATCCTCAACGTCTCCAGCACCTTTGTTCTGACCTGCTCGGGCTCGGCACCGGTGATATGGGAACAGATGTCCCAGGTGTCCTGGCAAGAGACAGCCGTGAATCAGGACGGCACCTTCTCCAGTGTGCTGACACTCACTAACGTCACCGGGGGCGACACCGGAGAATACTTTTGTGCCTACAACAACTCCCTGGGGCCAGAGCTCGGTGAACGGGTGCGCATCTATATCTTTGTGCCAGGTAAGGATCTTACCTGGGTGCCTACTCCCGCACCCTCATCTCCACGGCGCATAGTACAAAAGGAAGTGTCTCGAGGACACAGTGAGAGGCAGCCATGTGACGCAGGCAAAGAGCAGCGTCCAGCCTGGGTCAGTCCAGGAGCACGCTTGCTTGGTCTACTCATTGTCTGCTCTCTCTCCTGTCTGTCTCTCACCCTTGCCTCCCAAGAGTTCCACATTCTCAGCTGGCCCCAACCTGTTCCTTTCGGCCCCGTATCCCAGTGCCCTCTTCTCTGAGATCCAGGTGCAGCTACTCTTTAGTTTACGACTTTTTATCCCCTCCCTCCAACGCCAGTACTATCAACATCAAACACAGAGCAGGAAACGGCCTCTGAGGACATCTTCCTGACTACCATTGTGCTACTATAACAGAAGACAGTTCTGGAGGCAGGGGCCAGCATCTGGCAAGAACACTTTTTTTCCCCCTTCTTCTCCTCTCCCCACCCACCCTAGGGGTGAGTCGCCCATGTAGCCCTGGCTGGCATGGAACTAACTCCCTCTGTGATCCAGGTTGGCCTCAAACTTACAGAAATCCATCTCGCTCTGCCTCCTGAGAGCTGGGATTGAAGGTGTGCGCCTTCACACTCTGCTTCTTCTCCTTTATTTTTGAGGCAATGTCTATTTGTTATATGGCCAAAGACGACCTTGAACCTCTGATTCTCCTTCCTCTACCACTTGAGTGCTGGAGTCACATGCATGCACGCGTGCACCCCTTAATGCATGCTAGGCAAGCAGTCTGCCCATTGAGCCACACCCCTGGCCCAGCGGAAGCCTTCTTGCAACTTTATACCATGGAAAAGGCAGAAAGGCAAGAGAACACAAGAAGAGCAAGAGGGGACTGAACTTACGCTCCTGCAATGGCATCCATCCATGAAGCCCTTGTGGCTAATCACCCCCCACACATGCCTTTTTCTTTTTGGTGCTGGGGACTGAACCCAAGGTCTTGTGCAAGGACTTTACCACTGAGCTACATACCCAGACCTTTCTACTGTGATTTTTTTTTAAAAAAAATTAATTAGCTATTTTTATTTATGTGTTTGTGAATGCACTGTTTTCGTGTGTGTGTGTGTGTGTGTGTGTGTGTGTGTGTGTGCCAGCCACATGACAGCCAGAAGAGTGTTGTATCCCCCGGAGCTAGAGTTACAGGCAATTGTGAACTACCTAAGAAATAAATTCAAATTCTCTGGAAGAGCAGCAAGTGCTCTCAACCCCTGAGCCATTTCTACAGTTCTTACTATTGCTATTTAACTTTTTTGTGTTGAGACATAATCTCCCTAGTCACTCTGTAGCTTCAGCACGTCTCAAATCAATCAGTCCTCTGACATCTTGCATGAGCTTCACAAGAGGCTGGGAATGATGATGATGATGAGGATGATGATGATGATGATGATGATAGGTCTTCACTACTCAGCTGACAATTATCATTGTCAAATGATAAAAATCCTACCTGTAAGAACTGTTACAATGACAACTATATTTCAGTGCAGTTTGGAGGGGACCAACATCAAAACTATAGCAGCATCCTTATTCTGTATCGAGTGGACTGAGAGCCAGAGAGAGAAGAGACTGCTCAAAGTCAAACAACAATTCACCAGACAGCTAGAAACTCACTATCCTGGCTGCGATTAAACACCATGACCAAAAGCAATTCAGGAAGGGAAAGGTTTATTTCATTTTACAGCTCGAAGTCCATCGGGAAGAGAAGTCAGGCCAGGAAGTCAGGCAGGGACTGAACCAGAGACCACGGAGGAACACTGCTTACTCCCCTGCTCCTCATGGCTTGCTCAGCCTGCTTTCTTATATTACCCAAAGGTATTATATTACCTTTCTTATATTACTTGCCCAGGAGGGGTACCACTCACAGTGGGCTGGGCCTTCCCACATCAATCATTAATCAAGAAAATGTCCCACAGACAAACTGATGGGAGCATTCTCTCAGTTGAGCTTCCTTCTTCCCAGATGACTCTAGCTTATGTCAAAGTTGGAAAAAAAAAAACTAGCCAGGACTTTCATTCCTTGGCTCTACTCCTGACAGATCCCACCATGGGCTTCCTCCCTATGGACTCCGAGGACCTATTCATTTTTGTCACGGATGTCACTGAGACGACAATTCCATGCCGAGTGACAGACCCCCAGCTGGAGGTGACCCTGCATGAGAAGAAAGTGGATATCCCCCTACACATACCCTACGACCACCAGCGAGGTTTCATTGGTACATTTGAGGACAAGACTTACATCTGCAAAACCACCATTGGAGACAGGGAAGTGGACTCCGATACCTTCTATGTCTACAGCCTTCAGGGTGAGCTCCCTTTCTGGGGGAACAGCCCCTTGGTTTACTAAGTGCACAGCCTCATATCTCGTTGGATTTTCCTGTAGTTTTGGGAGGGAGCTAGTTAGCATTTTCTCCCTTTTATGTCCACGGAAACCGAGGCTCAGAGAAAGGATGGAGTTGGTCCACAGTCACAGTTCACTAAAGGCCAGTCTGGGCTTCATAAGGTGGGGACAAAGGCACAGGCTTGCAGACAGCTGGGTTTGGATCCCAACTTGGTCACTTCCCATTTGGACCACTTTGCACAAGACTCGTGGTCCCCATGAGCCTGATTTCCTATGACTGCCTTCCTCACAGATTTGGGGGAAGGTAAAATAAAAGAGGTTAAGGTGCTAGCATGTGATAGGTGCTTGGTAAATGTCTCTGAATTCCTAGAGATGGTTATTCTGTTGTCAGCACCATGAAGAAAGAGATTCTGTCTGTGGTGTCCACTCCTCTAGCCCCAGTGTCTAGAATAGTGTTTGTATATAGCAGTGTTTGATTACTATTGATAGGACCCATGAACAAATCGTTCACAACAGCCACCCACTCCCATTCCCAAGCTCGGTGCTGGTGGCTGTTGATGACCTCCATGGCCCTAATCTAATCTCCTCGCCCCACTCCAGTGTCATCCATCAATGTCTCTGTGAACGCAGCACAGACGCTGGTCCGCCAGGGTGAGAGCATCACCATCAAGTGCATCGTGATGGGCAATGATGTGGTCAACTTCCAGTGGACATACCCCCGCATGAAGGTACTGCTGGGCCAAGGTTGGAAGGCAGGACAGACATCCTGGCTCGTACCGGCTTCTCATTTGGGGACTTGACCTTGCAGAGTGGGCGACTGGTGGAGCCAGTGACAGATTACCTCTTTGGGGTGCCCTCCCGAATTGGCTCCATCCTGCACATCCCGGCTGCTGAGCTGAGTGATTCGGGAACTTATACTTGCAATGTCTCTGTGAGCGTGAATGACCATGGAGATGAAAAGGCCATCAACATCACTGTGATCGGTGGGTACCTGGGAGTCAGCCCTCTACCCCACCCTGAGCTGACCAGACTCTGGCACAGGCTTGGGGTCTATTTCAGTATCAGATTCAAATAAAATGTAGCATCAGTCCCAGACTTAGCTCTAAGCCCAACCTAGACTTCTCACCTAGCCAGACTCCTAGTTCATTATCAACCCCTCGATGCCAGCCTTGGCAGTCCCATTGCCAAAGTCAATCTTGTACTAGTTTGAAGTTCTAATATATACTGTATGTAATATAGAGCCAGAATAGAAAACTTCATCTCCAATCCCAGGCTCAGCACTGACCCCAACACTAAGAGCACCAAATTCCACTCCTGCTCCAATTCCAGACCAAGCTTGAACTCCTGGTCTGTTACCTCAAGAAGCCCTGCCCCTAGAAGGGGCTTCTCTGACCTCTAGTTGGTACAGGCCACCAGGAACACCCCACTAGCTGGATCTATACCCTCACTGGTGTCTGGGCATAGTCCCGCCCACAGGACCCACCCTTGACTGTTGTATACCTTCACAGAGAACGGCTACGTGAGGCTGCTGGGCACACTGGGTGATGTACAAATTGCTGAACTGCACCGGAGCCGGACATTGCAGGTGGTGTTTGAGGCTTATCCGCCACCCACTGTCCTGTGGCTGAAGGACAACCGTACCTTGGGTGACTCCAGCGCCGGCGAGATGGTTCTGTCCACCCGCAACGTGTCCGAGACCCGGTGAGCACCAGCAAGTCCGCTTGCTTTGCAAGTTTCAAAGCTGCCAGGCAGCTCAGGGGCCTTCAGATACCACAAACCTTTTGCCTGAGAATCTACTGTGTGCCAGGGATGCTCAGGACCAGAGTAAGCCGCTCTGCCCCTCCTGGAGGGGGAAACACACTGGTGGCTCGGCTGCTTAGAGATTTAGTTAACTTTGCGATGAGAGGAGACAGCAGGTGACAGCCAAAAGCAAAATGACTGGATGGAAGTCCCTGAGGCAGACTGACCAGACTGTGCCCTTCTGAAGGGGGTGGGTTGTGGGAAGAGGGATACCGAGATCCTCCCCAAGTTTTCCTCTTAGCTTAGAGGAATTGTCTGTGGGTAGGGATTCAGAAGACTCAGTGTGAATGCTTACTCTGCTGCCATCACACACGTGGCCTTGGCAAGCACATGCCTTCCCTGACAGACTATAGGAAGGCGAGGATGCTGTAGGGGTTTCTGCAGTTCTGACTGAAGTCCCCTGGCCTGGCCTGCTCCATAGGTACATATCCGAACTGACCTTGGTACGTGTGAAGGTGGCAGAAGCTGGCTACTACACTATGCGGGCCTTCCACGAGGACGCAGAGGCCCAGCTCTCGTTCAAGCTGCAGGTCAACGGTAAACATTACCTCCCTTTCGCTCTCTCCTCCTCCCTCTTTCCCTCCCTCCCCATTCAAACCTTTCCCTTCCTTCTTTGCCCATCCACCCATGGGAGTGGCTGGAGAAAGAGCCTGGAACCAAGGAGGCTGCACTCTAGACAGCTGATCTGGTGTGTCCCCTTTCTGGGCCTCTGTTTCCCCAGCGGCAAAAGATGACCACCAGATTGTTTTGGTGTTCCCCCAAATCTGAGTCATTTATCAGTCAACAACACAATTTTACTTCACTTATATAATTCATACTTTGATGAGTAATTTCAATATGGTGGTCTGTTCAGAGTTGTACATTTTATAGCTTGCATCCTAGTGGGGGAAAGGAGGAAGGTTAGGGTTAGAAGAGAAGTAACTGTAGGGGGCAGGGAAGGAGGGAGAGAGACAGAACACACAGAGACACATGCGCATATAGAGAGAGAGAGAGAGAGAGAGAGAGAGAGAGAGAGAGAGAGAGAGAGAGAGAGAGAGTGGTGTTTGGTTTTGTTGGTGGTGTGGGTTGTAGTTTCTAGTGTGGTGATCAGGGTTGACCTCATTCTGGAGTCGGCCTTTGTGAGAAGACTTGAGGACGTAGGGCATTAGACAAGTGGATATTTAGGGACTGGCACTCCAGATCATGCGTCACGTTGCCAGAGAAATAGCAGGAAGGTCAGTGTGGCCTGAACAGAGGGCTCTGGCATATATGGAGGGCATGAGGTCAGGGTAGAAATGGAGGAAGGATGGAGGGGGGTACTTGGGTGAGTGCTTGTGGGCTTGGTACAGCTTTGGCTTCCATTGCGACTGAAACGAAGGATTTGTGCACAGAAATGACAGGATAAAGACTTAATGCTTTGTCAATTAGCTTTCTAAAACTAAATCTATTTTGAAAGACAAAATTTAGCATCTTGGTTGTAGATGTAAATTCAGTGCCATAGGACATAAATATAAAACAACCACTAAAGTAAAATCAGGAAAACAAAACAAAACAAAGCAATGGTGTCAAAGTCTAGCTTCATGAGCCTAGCTGCCCAGGGCCTTGGTCTCTGGACCTGTTCTCTCTTTGTTAAGGGAAGAGCAAGTCTCAGACTGATGTTAGAGACAGACTCTGAGCCTTGCCCTTTGAAGTCCCAGAGAGGAAGCTGTCACTTTTCACACTGTGGCTCCTGGTATATAACATTCCCTCCCACAGTCTCCTGTGGGAAATTCTGGAGCATGTCCCCCAAGGTCTGTTCTGATCACCCCACTCCCTGACCCTGTACTCTTTGACTGTTCAGTTCCTGTCCGTGTGCTGGAGCTGAGTGAGAGCCACCCTGCCAACGGGGAGCAGACAATCCGCTGTCGTGGCCGGGGCATGCCTCAGCCGAACGTCACCTGGTCTACCTGCAGAGACCTCAAAAGGTGAGCATACCTGAGCCTCAGCCTTCCAGAATACCCTCATCTGCCTAGAATGACCCAGTGCATGGTAATCCAGACCAGACTCTTCTCCTGAGAGGTCCAGGCCACATCTTAGACCAGTCCTCTGCCTTACTGGAGATACTGTGCATAACCTAAGTAGCTCCTTTTCTTATCTTGACCCTGAGCCATCCTCAGCCCTGGAAGGTGCAGGGTCTGGCTCCGAGAGGTGTCTAATTCATCTAGTAGTTGTTCTATACCCCTGACCAGAGCTGAGTCTAGTACATAGACATAGGATGAGTTCAGGGTTTGCCTCTAACCCTGATACACTGGTTAACCTTGAGGGTCAAATGAGTGAATTTTGCCATTTAGGCGTTCTCAGTTCTGGAGTACTAGCGCCCCCTGCAGGTCCATCTAGACAACACAGTATGAACCTGCTTAAGGACCAAGCAGTCATAGAAAGGAAGCATGCTTTCCTTCTCTATACACCACTCAATGTACAGCCTGATTTGAGCCTCGGTTTCCCCATCTGCAGAGGGGAACTAAGAGAGGATGCAAGCTATTGCCCCTGTGTCTCCTAGCAGGTGTCCACGAAAGCTGTCACCCATACCCTTGGGGAACGGTTCCAAGGAGGAGAACCAGCTAGAGACTAACGTGACTTTCTGGGAGGAGGAACGGGTATATGAGGTGGTGAGCACGCTGCGCCTGCGTCACGTGGATCAGCCACTGTCAGTACGCTGCATGCTGCAGAACTCGATGGGCAGAGATTCGCAGGAGGTCACCGTGGTACCACATTGTGAGTGCCCCAGCTTTGGGTTGCTCTGATGACCTTTCACCCTTTCCTTGACCCTGCTATGCCGAGCCTGCATGCCCAAAGTGGGTCAAGTCAGCACGCTCACAAAGCCCATAGGGACATAACAAAAGCCACCAGAGTATGTTCCTATGCACATCACAACATATTATGTGGGCACAAGTACACAAACACAAGTCTATACAGCACAGACATGAAAAGCATTGATTCATGAGTAGGAAATGAACTGGTATGCATGATACATGATATAAGCATGATGTAAACATGATGTAAACATGAGTGGGCTGATCTTGGGACTGGGCATACACCCTTCATGTGTACATGCAATCTGTTGAGGATGCTTAATCCCCAGAGAACACACATGTTAGCATGTGCTCCTGCAAGCACAATACTGTCCGTGTATATAAAACTGCAGGGTATACTTTTGTAAGCTGTGTATATAAGCCTGCCCAAATCTAAGACTTGTATGTAATCCATGAAATGAATATCTACACACAGGTACATGTGGGAGTACAATCCCCATACATGTGTATAAACCATGCATGTACAAACCTTGTGCGTGTGTGAAAATTGGCATGATACATGTCTGCACTCACATAGTTGCAACATATAAAACATAAAAAGCATTGAGCACAAGTCTGTAGACACACACCTCCAGACAATGTGTACAGCAGGTTCACATATGTGTATGATTATTGTACGTATGAACAGTGCTTGCCAGAGTCCAGATGTGGGTGTCACTCATCCCTGCCCGCACACGTGTGTGCATGCTTCATCACTCACCTATTTCCTGCTCAGTAAGTTATGGGGACCCAAACTCATAGTACACAGGAGGCCGACAAGGGAGTAAACCAGCCCGGGCTGGATCACTACATCCAGGAAGCAGCTCCGAAAGAGAAGAAGCTCTATGCCAACCATCAGGTTGAGAAAGTACCCCAGGAAAAAGAAGCTTTACATCAAATGCTGAAAGATGGCTAGGTGTTAGCCTGGGAGGGGTGGTGTTACAGTCAAGGAGGCCTAGCAGTAGATTAATTTCTGAGAAGTTCAAGGAAACCAGACTGTCTGGAAGGCAAGCTGTACGTGGATCTGAGGCAGGGGAAGTAATAGGGAAGGAAGTGGTAAGGAGTGGGGATACAAGATACAGAAGTCAGAAAAATCAGAGCTTCAAAAGGCATTTCACACACACACACACACACACGCACGCACACACACACACACACGCACGCACGCACACACACACAAACACACATGCGCGCACACACACAGGCTGCTCCACAGCCTTGTGCAAGTTTGTCTATGTACATCCCTGTCACCTGTCCTAGAAGATGAGTGAGCTTTGTAAATATCCTATTGGGCTGGAGAGATGCTCAGGGCTTAAGTGCACTCGCTGTTCTTCTAAAGGACCTCAGTTGCATTCCCAGCGCCCATGCCAGGGGGCTCACGACCACCTGTGACTCCAGTGCCCATGGATTTAATGCTTTCTTCTGGCTTCTATCAGCATCCACACACGTGGCATTCAGGCATACAAATGCACACATATACACGTACATAAAAATAAAACACAATTTTCCCTCCACACTCTCGTATGTGCAATGCATCCCTGAGCAAGTGGGCACAGCAGAGTGTGCACAGCCTGGCATATAGACCCACTCTAGGCCTGAGTAAAGGCAGGAGGAAAGTCATTGTGTGACGCCTGGACAGGACACCGTGTACTATCACACAAAGGATGACTTTGATGGATCCCTGGAGATTGCAGGCTCCCTTTGCAAGACTAGGACATGGGGCTGTCGGGAAGAGATGACAAAGATGTCAGTCAGGGACCCTCAGAAGGAAAGGATGTGGAGTGAGCCAGAGGAAGGCTCCTTGGGGAACAGAGGAGGGCAGGAAGGGGACATAGGCGGAAGAAGCAAGTTCCCAGAAGACAACAGCTATTGCTAAGTGGGGAAGGACAGGGGTTCAACCAGGGTGACTGGGGAGCAGCAAAGCTGAAACCTTGGGCTAGAGAAGACTCAGGGCTCAGGGGACCCAGGCAGAGTTGTGTGTTCACCTCAGTGCCCTGAGTAGTGCACTCTATGACTGCCCTGTCACACACACCAGCTGATCCCCAAGGAAGGGCTGGGAGGAACGGACTCTTCAGGGTGTGGATTCTTCAGGCTGCTGAAGTTCAGGGTTGGCTCTTTCGAGCAGTCACTTAGTGAATGCCTCAATCATTTGGTTAGAAATGGCACTTAAATCTATGACCCAGGCATGACAACCCACCAGGGCATCGGCCTGGAAGAAAGGAGGGTGTGGCCTGGTCCTCAGGGTGCCTAATGCCGTGAGAGGCACAGAGAATGATCAGGAACCGGAAGAGGGTTTTCGTAGCCTAGCGCGATGATGCCGAGGCCAGCCTGAGCCCGGTCATGATCTGAGAAGGGGAATCATTGAGGGGCACTGGGGTTTGCAGGTAAGGCCAGAGCGAGGGTCCTGAGGCCAGATATCTAGGCAGTAAGGGCTTCTGTGCTAGGCAGAGCAAGTCCAGTGGATCTGGATGCCCACAGCGTGGTGGAGAGAGCAACCTCCAGCCGCTGTTTGCTTAAGGCTACTCTGGTCTCTGTCTTTAGCCCTGCCTTTCAAAGTGGTGGTGATCTCAGCCATCCTGGCCTTGGTGGTCCTCACCGTCATCTCGCTCATCATTCTCATCATGCTGTGGCAGAAGGTAAGCACCTCTAGCCTGTAGGTGCCGAGTAGTACCCCTATCTCCCTCCATCCCCAGCGGTCTGTGCTGACCTAGGCCTGCTGCAAGGGATCCAGGACTGACTCCAGACCCCTGCTCTTTCCTCTGCATCGGTCTTTCCTGTTCAATCCAGTCGCGGGACAAACGGCACTTTGTGGGTGGACTACCCTGGCCCCATGATTCTTCCAGCTCTTACCCATGAGTCACTAGAATGCAATCTGACCCCACGAATCTAAAGTTGCAACGCTCTGTTCTGACATTTTCCCGTTCTGTAGCTCCAAACGCTTACAGTTCCTGAATTGGGACTTTGGTGCCCTTCATCCTGTCATTATAAGATTCCAATCCTGTGACTCCAGCATCTAAGATTTCCACATTCAAAGGCTGCATCCTTTTGAGATCCCATGGAGACAGACCCGACATGGGGAGGGGCCCCCACATTTGACATCTGAGGAGTAACTGGGGCTCAGGGAGAAGCTGATAAAGCGGTTCTAGTAAGTGAGGGCCACCCTGTCAGCTGCTCTTCAGAGGCGGCGTCCTCGGGGTATCTCAGCCACACTTTCTACCTTCTGGGGCTTCTTAGTACCAGTTGTCTCTGAACTCATGGAGACCTTGGTTTTGCTGGTCACTCGCTGTATCCCTTTAAATATGTTCCCGCCCTCTCTTGGTCTCAGAGTCTCCTGTCCCATCTGTCATCTAAGCGCTAGACCTGATAGGCTCAAGGCCAAAGATGCCCTCTGACCAAACAGCTCATCTGACGGTCTTGTCCTGCAGAAACCACGCTATGAGATCCGATGGAAGGTGATTGAGTCTGTGAGCTCTGATGGCCACGAATACATCTACGTGGACCCTGTACAGTTGCCTTATGACTCCACCTGGGAGCTGCCACGGGACCAGCTCGTGCTCGGTCAGTCCTAAGAAGTCTTCGGGCCCTGAGATCTGCTCCCAGCGTGCTTACGACTAGCTGAGGCCCAGAGCTGATATCTTGTCTTCTCTGGTTCTCAGTATCCTCTCTATATGGTGAAGACAAGATGATCCCTGATAGCACGGAAGCCCTAGGAACCTGAGATTGATATGGGGCCTCTCCAGGCCAAAGAGGAAGTACAGAGATAGGCTGGGAAGTCTGAGGCAGATGCAGGGGAGCTGTGATTTCCTGAGGAGGCAGGAGGTCTTCTAGGGGCTCTAGGGAAGGCAGACAGCAGCAGGCAGGATCTAGAGGAGACCAAAAGGATGGGAAGCTTCCTGAGAGGGAGCACAATGAGCTGGTTGGAAGGATGTGGAGGATGACCTAAGAGAATAGTCTCCCATTCTGAGTGGGAAGATGAGGTAAGGATCCTAGTTCCCAAGAGCTGAGAGTTTCTTTCCATCCCAGGACGCACGCTAGGCTCTGGGGCCTTCGGACAAGTGGTGGAGGCCACGGCTCATGGTCTGAGCCATTCACACGCCACCATGAAAGTGGCTGTCAAGATGCTGAAATGTGAGTCTTGAAACATGAGCCAGCCTCCCCCCTTCCTCACACCTAGGGTCCCACTCTGCCTTACCCTTCCCTGTACATTTGGTTTCTTCTGAAGGGCCCTGGTCCTGGATTTGTGAGACAGAAAGGCTCCTCACTGCGTCCTCTTTGGATTCCTCTTTCTTCTCTCCCCTCCTTCCACCTTCTTCCTGCTCCAGGGAGGTCCTCACCACCCTGGGACACTAGTCCTACATCAGAGTGGGACAGAGTAGGCCCTGGTGGGGCCCACCCAGACTGAGCCCCTTTCCCTTCTCAGCTACAGCCCGAAGCAGTGAGAAGCAAGCCCTCATGTCAGAGCTGAAGATCATGAGTCACCTCGGACCCCACCTGAATGTGGTCAACCTGCTGGGAGCCTGTACCAAAGGAGGTACTCAAGCCACGCCCCAGAGGACTCTGAGGCTCCTCTCTTTCCTGTTCTCTCAGTCCGCCACCAACAGGAAGCTCTTGCGGGAGTGCCCACACACCTGCTGCCCGCCCAGCACACCAACTGGTGACCCATTGGGCTGCTGGCATAGTGATAGTAGTGACGTTGTTTTACTTTTACTTCACTATCCCAGATTGCTGCGCACCGCGGCCCCGGTCTGCGCTCTATGCGCTAGACCTCAGTTCGCAAGCTTCGGGCAAGGGGCTGGAGGTTGAGAACACACACGCAGAGACAGACCAACATGCAGACCTTTAAACACTGATACCAAAGCCCCTCTTTATTAGCACCATGGAGGCTTAAATATACTACAGTCAATGGCCAACAGGTGAAAAATCCCATCCTCTGATCCTCTAAGCTAGGCACAGCTTCTAGTAACTTCAATTAGAAGGCTCTAGGAGGGAAGAGCAGCTGAAGGCCAGGACTCATTAGTCCCAATACAAGATGAGTTCAGTTTTTGTTTTTAGAAATTTATTTATTTATTTGTTTGTTTGTTTGTTTATTTATTATGCATACAGTATTCTGCTGTCCTGTAGGCTTACAGGCCAAAAGAGGGCACTAGATCTCATTATAGGTGACTGTGAGCCACCATGTGGTTGCTGGAAATTGAACCCAGGATCTCTGGAAAAGCAGCCAGTGCTCTTAACCACTGAGCCATCTCTCCAGCCACTGGGTTCGGTTTTAGAATCATGATACCTTCAGGGCAGAGAGATTCTTGGGGCCACTAGTTCCAGCAGCTTCCAAACCCAAGTCTCGCCAGACATTATTTTCTTCAGATTCTGAAGTTTTATGTGAGTACATGTTTGCCTGTATGTCTGTGCACTATGTGTGTGCCAGGTGCCTGAGGCGGCCAGAAGAGGGCGTCAGACCCTCTGGAACTGGAGTTACAGATGGTTGTGAGCCATCACGTAGGTGTGGGGTATGGAACCAGGGTCCTCTGTGAGAGCTCTTAACAAGGCTCCTAACTACTGACCATCTCTTCAACCTCCATTTTTGTATTTTCGCAATACATTTTGGAAACCGTGGGAAAGTAACAGCCTCTACGGCTTGGAGACAGCAGAGCCCATCAGCGGGCTAACCAGGATGGTTGTTCACATGGGTGTTGAAAGTCACTTTGGCCATCGTGTTTACTTGAGGGTTTGGTTACCCTTGGGCTGTGGACATAGTAAAATAATAGTGAAGTTGCTACCATTCGCAGCTGCCTGTTGTGAGATCTGGGATTTTCCTCGGTATTGTGTAATCTGTCTAAATACAGAAGTACATTGCACACAGAGCGTGGTCCGTGCCTGTACTGGGCATATTTCAAAAGTGTCTTCATCTTTTGGGTGGCTTTAAGTGCGTTGAACTTAAGTGTAACTGGTAAATGGTGCTGACAGAGACGTTTACCTACTTCATGTAGATCAGAGTCCAAGAGTCTGAGAAGAGCAGCAGCAACTGATGTCATAGGCTTGCCCCGTGCCGAGCCCTCAAAGGCATCATCTCAGGGGTCTTCATGTCAACCCCAAGGGTGGGTGTTGTTAGCCCCTGGCTAGAAGGGCAAAAGAAGGCCCTGAGAGAGTAATAGCTTACAGTCACAGAGGGCAGAGAGGGGATCCAGGTTTGCAAGGTGCCAGCCCTCTTGGCCATCTTGCCATTGGTGTCTCCACACCCAAGACTCTTGATTGGCCTTGTGGCCATGCTGGGAAGAGTGAGGCCTCTCCCAGAGTCCATCCCTGAGCCTGTCCTTCTGCAGGGCCCATCTACCTCATCACCGAATACTGCCGCTACGGTGACCTGGTGGACTACCTGCACCGCAACAAGCACACCTTCTTGCAGCGCCATTCCAACAAGCCGTGCCCACCCAGTGCTGAGCTCTACAGCAATGCCCTGCCAGTGGGGCTCTCCCCACCCAGGTATGAGGGAGGGAGCCCCGAGTGAGGACCTGCCAAGCATATGGGCACTCATGTTCAGAAGCCCAAAGATGAGGGTGTGAGCGTTGGGGCAAGAGTCACTTCCCAGAGACAGGGTCGTAACCAGGCAGACAATGATGATGGGAGGGAGAGAGGGATCAACTGTTACTCCACGTCATCTCAGTGAGGCAGGCTCCTTCCTAACCCTTCTGAAGATGTGACTCCTTGAACCCACATGCCATTCTCGTGTCATGGGTGTCCTTTTTTCTTGCCGTAGGGACCTAGGGGCAGAGGCAGTGATAAACTGAGAGCCAGGCTCTAAGATGCTATATACTAGGCTCTGGGCCTTAGCTCCCTACCATCCACAAGCCAGCCTCCCCAGTTCTCTACAGGCAACACAACTCTGTCTTCTGATTATTTCATAAAGAACATTTCTTATTTTGTTTTTCATTTGTTTGTTTAGTTTTTGATTTTTAATTTATTTATTTTCATTTTATTGGTGTTCTGCCTGTATGTATGTCTGTGTGAGGGTGTTGGATTCTGGAATTACAGATAGCTGTGAGCCACCATGTGGGTGCTGGGAATTGAACCTGGGTCCTCTGGAAGAGCAGTCAGTGCTCTTAACCACTGAGCCATATTTTCAGCCCCACTTACTTTGTTTTGTTGTTGTTGTTGTTTGTTAATTTAAAAAAAAACAAAGATAATAACTTTGCAAAAGTGTGCTCAGGGATATGAAAATGCACCCCGTCCTAGCACTGTGACGTGTTCCTGCACATGCCATGTTTGGTTCCACTATTCCGTGGGGAACTGAGGCTGTACCCGAGGGGTCCAGATGAGGCCTCGTTGCCACCCTAGACTATACACCTCGCCGCTCTGTAGGCATGGATAGGAACTGGAAAGGCCCAGAAAGGGACCGCTCTGTAGACCCATGTACGATTGTTTTCCTGGTTGCTGTAATCACTCTTGGGTGTGAACTCTGAGAACACATGAAACTGAAATTTGAAATTTATGCCCTGGCAATGCTGAAGCATGCATGGGCAGCCCGTATATGGTGGTTCTGTTGAACTTGTCCATATTGGGTTTCATGGTCTAAGTTGATGATGATGAGTGACCAGGTCTCTTCCTTAAGAGGGCGCCATTATAGATGGTTGTGCGCCACCAAGTGGTTGCTGGGAATTGAACTCAGGACCTCTGGAACACGGGGGTGCATTTCCTCATATCATCCCTGCAGCCCAGGGTCCAGCTCAGGGCCACACAGATTAGTTGGAAGGGTTGATTCAGTCATGTGTATTGTGGCAGACCATAGGACAGTGGGTACAGTGACTGAGGAGATCTACAGATGACCAGGCCACATGGGCTCAGGTTAAGCAAGGGCCAGGAGCAGGAGGGAAGAGAAATCTATGGCTTCTGACTCCATCCTCTCACCTACAGCCACTTGTCCCTGACTGGGGAGAGCGATGGCGGCTACATGGACATGAGCAAGGATGAATCTGTAGACTACGTGCCTATGCTGGACATGAAAGGAGACATCAAATATGCAGACATCGAGCCCTCCAACTACATGGCTCCTTATGACAACTATGTCCCATCTGGTAAGTGGATGTGGTGCTGGCACACGTGTGTAGGCTCATCCCATGTGCACGGTGATGCTTTCCTTTCAAAGTCCCTCATGTGCTCAGTCTTGTGACAACCCTGGAAGGCAGAGAGCTCATTTCATGCCTGTGGAAACTGAGGCCAGCTGCCTGCCCACTGCTGCTGTGCAGTGGAGTCCTGTAACTGGTTCCAGAAGCATGCACACTCTGGCAAGAAGGGGAGAGCCAGGTAGAGGTGGCCTTCTAGGGCCTGGAGGAAGACACATGTGCTCTGGGTTGGCCGTGTGATCATCTAATGTCCTGAGAAACAGGCAGGCAAGCCTTAGCTGGTGGTTTCGGGACTAGGGCTTTTCTTGCCAGTGAGGACAGTGAAAGCAGAAGAGGTTTAGGTTAGACACTTAAAAACTCGTTCTTGCCGGGTGGTGGTGACGCACGCCTTTAATCCCAGCACTCGGGAGGCAGAAGCAGGTGGATCTCTGTGAGTTCAGGGCCAGCCTGGTCTACAAGACTGAGTTCCAGGATAGGTTTCAAAGCTTTAATGAAACCCTGTCTCTCAAGACAAAGCCAACCAATCAACCAACCAAACAAACAAAAACAAAACTCATTCTCCTAAGGGAACACTTAGAAAATCAGTAGCCATTTGTATTGAATTCTCAGTCACCTACAAGCCTAAAGACAGGGGTCTTCTAGGCCTGTGGTGTACACAAAGTAACCCATAATCCTCTGCGCTCTCTAGCCCCTGAAAGGACCTATCGGGCCACCTTGATCAATGAGTCTCCAGTGCTTAGTTACACAGACCTCGTGGGCTTCAGCTACCAGGTGGCCAATGGCATGGAGTTCTTGGCATCTAAGAACGTAAGTGTAGTCCTGATGGTGTGGTCCTGATGGTGTGGTCCTGATGGGGAAGGCAGAATTATAGGGAGAGGGGTCATCTAGCCAACTACTCTCTCCCACGTCTATGGGTGAGATAGCTCCCAGCCCTCTGGTGGACTGGACATTGAGAAACCCCACACCTGGGCAGGCACGGATTTTTCCTAAATCTCTGTCCCAGAGGATCTTCTCCACAGTTGACCCTTAGTCTCAGCCCCCCCTTTTCTCTGACCCAGTGTGTCCATCGAGATCTGGCGGCCAGGAACGTGCTTATCTGCGAGGGCAAGCTGGTCAAGATCTGTGACTTTGGCCTGGCTCGAGACATCATGCGCGACTCAAACTACATCTCCAAAGGCAGCGTGAGTGCCTTCATCATCCGTGGGGTTGTCCCCAGGTGCCTCTCACACTAGGCATGGTTTTCTCCTGATTCATGTGGCCTCAGCTTGGTAGGGGGCCACTGGTAGCTTATCCTACCAGCAGAGATGTCAATGCTGCCTACCTATGAGCAGGGACAGGACAAGGAGCCTAGCTTTGTGCACAGTGGAGAGAGACTGGGAGAGGGTCAGGACTGTCACAGCAGGGGCCAAGGAACCAGCTACAGTGGGCTTGGGGTAAATGGGAAGGGGGTTTAGACACCCCTGTTTTAGGAAATGTAAGGTAAAGGAGCATAGAAAGGAGCCCAGAAGATATGGTAAGATAGGTTAAGTCTTGAAGCCCAGGGGTAGAAGGACCGCAGACCCCAGAGACCAAAGAGAACTCGTGGACATGACCATGGCTGCCCATGTCTATGCACAACACACCCCAAGGGCTTCCCCCAGGAACACAGGCTGCCATGTCTTTAGCTAGCCAGTTAGGAAACAGCTTCGCAGCACTCTGGCCAGGAATGTGCTTTGAGCCGTGGAGAGATGGAATTGGTGTGGGAGATGCTGGGCCTCCTCCTTCCCAGATGAGGTGGGGTTGAGAGACTGGCCACAAGGACCCTCCATGCACTCAGTACCTGCCTTGCCCTTGCAGACCTTCCTACCTCTAAAGTGGATGGCCCCAGAGAGCATCTTCAACAGCCTCTACACCACGCTGAGTGATGTGTGGTCTTTCGGGATCCTGCTGTGGGAGATCTTCACGCTGGGTGAGCCGCTTCTTCTCCCAGCCCCAAGCTATGCCCCAGAGCAGCTACCCTCTTGCTCCTACCTCCCTCCTGACTGCTCCTCAGGCTGGAAGCAGGGGACTGTGGGGCAGACACTGGAACATGAGCAGGGACTCAGGAGCAAGTCCAGGCTGTGCCTCTCTTTCCATTGCATGGGTTTGGCAAGTTCTTAGCCTGTTCTGGGTTTCTATCTTCCCATCTAAGCATCAAAGGAGTTAGACATATCAAAAGGCATGCTTGAAGCCAGCTATAATGGTGTACATCTGTAATCCCAATACTTGGAAGTCAAGAAGATGGAAAGTTTCAGGCCAGCTTGGGCTACACCGAGACTCCATAGGCACAGACACAGACCCTGCTTGGGTATCATTGCTTCTCTAGTTCCATCTCTGTCTCCAATGCCAAGGGTATTACGCTCTCGTATACACCAGGGCAGTGTGCCTGAGAGGACACCCTGCCACTTCCCACATGCTGAGACACTAATGTCCCTGTCTCTGTTCCATGACAGGAGGCACCCCTTATCCAGAGCTGCCTATGAACGACCAGTTCTATAATGCCATCAAGAGGGGCTACCGCATGGCCCAGCCTCCTCATGCCTCTGACGAGATGTGAGTGGAACCTTGTGCACTTGGGAGGATTCTGAGGGTTCAGAGGCTGTGCATCTCCAGCTCAGAGGCTAGACACATCCTGTTAGAACTGGATCAAGCTGTTCAAAATGGCGCTATCAGAAAGTTCTATCCCAGCCCAGGTCTCCACTTTCTCAAGGCTGGTTTCAAATTCAAGCCTGTCCTGTTCATGTGGCTGCCGTTAGTACTGCCCTAACATCTTACTGCTTGCATTGCTCCAGGAAAAGACCCAAAGCTGACCTTTTAAAAAAATATTTTTTTAAGTGTATGAGTGTTTTGCCTGCATGCCTGTGTGTGCCTTGCATCCATGTCTGATGCCCTCGGAGATCAGAAGATGGTGTCAGATCCTCTGGGACTGTGAGCAACATGTGGGTGCTGGGAATTGAACCCAACTACTCTGTAAGAGCAACACATTCTCTTAACCATTGAGCCATCTCTTCAGCCCCACCCGGAGCTAAACTTTAAGGGCTTAGTTTGGTCACATGCCGTCAGATCCAGGCCTGAGCCGGGAAGATGAAAATCCCTATTAGACAAATTCGGGTCACGTGCTCACCATGGCATCTTGGACCACACAGAATCACATGGGTGGGGGAAGCCGGGAAGACTTCCCAAGAGATCGGTGAGAAGCAATGATGGTGTTAACAATGGTGCTGCTCCTTCCCAGCATCTTCTGCCTTCACTTTGCTCTGAACCCTACTGCATGGCCTTGCCTCTAAGGCAGAGACTCTGACCCTCTCTCTGCCTTCCCCCAGCTATGAGATCATGCAGAAATGCTGGGAAGAGAAATTTGAGACTCGACCCCCCTTCTCCCAGCTGGTGCTGCTCCTGGAGAGGCTGCTGGGCGAGGGTTATAAAAAGGTACGGAGACAAGGCGGGTGGGGGACAGAGTTCTGGTCCCAACCCTGTGCGCTGGGCCTGGGGGTGACGCGCTGGTATTTGGGAGGAAATATTCTTCACACACACTTGGCCTCAGTTTCCTTGCTGGTACTAAGAAGAGTCATGTCAGAGCCAGGAGTTTATTTTAGTAGAACCAAGATGTGGAAACTGATGAATTTGACCCAGGGAGGTGCAGACGGTTGATAACCCTGTCAAACCTGCGCACCGTGACAACCCTGGGTGCTCCTTCAGAAGTGTGAGCAACCCTAGGCTCTCCTGAGTCCTCACACCAACCACTTAAACTTTGTCCCAGGCTTATACGAGGCCAGTGGAGCGAGTCTGTCCTGACCTTGGCTCCTTACTTCTTCCCATCTGGGGAGATCAAGGCAGAACGGACTCACCACTATCTCATAGCAAGGGACGCTGACCCCCAACCCCAACAGACGGCTATGGGAGACCACAACAGGATAAGAGTCCCTATCAGTTACTCTGAAGTGGGGTAGGAGCAAGGGTCATGGTGCTGCCTGACTACCTGCCCTCCCCTCCCTAGGGTACTCTGAGCATGTGCCTTTTCTTGGGATACCAGGCAGGAAGGCAGCTCACCGGTGTGGCTTTGAGCAGAACCCCTTTCATGTGTACTGGGGGAGAGGGTCTCTAGGATGTTGCCTGTCGCTCACCCAGTTTTTTCCTTCTCTCCCTGTCCTCTGGAGCAGAAATACCAGCAGGTGGATGAGGAGTTTCTGAGAAGTGACCACCCAGCCATCCTGAGGTCTCAAGCCCGCTTGCCAGGGTTCCACAGCCTCCGGTCTCCCCTGGACACCAGCTCTGTCCTCTACACCGCCGTGCAGCCCAACGAGGGTGACAATGACTACATCATCCCCTTGCCTGACCCCAAGCCTGATGCTGCTGATGAGGGCCTCCTGGAAGGTTCCCCCAGCCTTGCCAGGTAGCCACCCTAACCCTTTGTTCCCAGACATCATGTGAATAGTGCATGTGTTCGTGTGTGTGTGTGTGTGTGCATGTGTGTGTGCACGAGCATGTGTGTGTGCACGAGCATGCATGTGTGTGTGTGCACAAGCATGTGTGTATGCACGAGCATGCATGTGTGTGTGTGTGCACGAGCACGCGCACACGCTTACTACACTCGCCACAGAAAAACTGACAGCTAGCTAGAGAAAGGACTAACTCCTGCCCAGTGGCCAGCAGAGGCTGGAGTTTATTCAGCCCTTGAAACCGCAGGTGGGAAGGGCATTCTAGAATGAAATAAGATGTTCAAGAACCCATTTGCAAGATAGCTCTTCCTTTTAAAGGTGCACCCAGCGGACTCTTCTCAGGTACTATGTTAGTCCTGAGCACAGAGAGGAAACATTTAACACTTCCCAGCTGCTAGTGTGGGTCATGGCTGCTCTTCACACCATGTCCAGAGGGCTCCAGAGAACTTGGTTGTAGGAGATGGAGGTGCTGCAAATTCAGCTTAGAATTCAGACAGGGGAAAAGACCCATGGTCTGCCTTGGGTTGTGGCAAGTCCATTGTGGGGTGGGCTCTAGGGGCAGCCTTATTGCTTCCTAGACTGATGTCAAGCTGGAGTGGGGACTCCCCAAATCGAGATTCAGCCCATGGAGGAGTGGAAGGAGACATGCTGGTTTTCATTTCTAGCCTGTCATTATGAAATGTGGACAGGCCTTGCCTCTGTGAGCCTCCGTTTCTCTATAGGAACTCTCAGTACATGTAGGCCTTAGCAGGCCCTGAAGGCAGGTGAGGATGAGAAAGAAACTCGAGAGTTTGGTGGTCCTGCCCTCAAGTTCCGGCTTCTGTACTCCATCACTGTGTATTGGGGAGCGATGATATAAACTCTTGAAGCTGTGCTGCCCAGTGGTGCATGCAGCCTCTCAGTGTGGAAAGTCAATACACAAAAAGCTCTTAGACGAGCCGGGCGATGGTGGCGCACGCCTTTAATCCCAGCACTTGGGAGGCAGAGGCAGGCGGATCTCTGTGAGTTCGAGACCAGCCTGGTCTACAGTGCTAGTTCCAGGACAGGCTCCAAAGCCACAGAGAAACCCTGTCTCGAAAAACCAAAAAAAAAAAAAAAAAAAAAAAAGCTCTTAGACAATACTGTTAGTTCTTCCCAGGCTCTCCCCAGCTCCTTTCTGACTTGTTTCCTTCCTCCAGCTCCACCTTGAACGAAGTCAATACTTCCTCGACCATCTCCTGTGACAGTCCCCTGGAGCTCCAAGAAGAGCCACAGGCAGAGCCCGAGGCAGACCCAGAGCAGCCACAGGGTTCGGGCTGCCAGGAACCCCTGGCTGAAGCAGAGGACAGCTTCCTGTAGGGACTGGACCCACCCCACCCTGTCCAAAACTCCCGTATGCCTCCCAGCACCCAACCCTCCTGGCCTGGCCTGGCCACCAAGCTGTTGCACTGCCACCAGCTGCTTGAAGAAGGACCCTGGTGTGCGGACCCAAGGTCCTGGGACCAATTTAGCTTAGGAGGCAAGAGAACTGTGGGGATCGAGTCTCTGCCTCTGGAAGGCCATGAGACTCTGAGCCAGAGCTCCTCCAAGGGATTCAGTTTCCCCAGATGTAAGAGGAAGAGTTGGGCTTGGCTCTCAGACAGGTATGGAGCTTGGATTCCTGGAGAGGGTGCTGGGTGTAAGGCAGTGTGTTCATCACTTCCTCCTGTGTAGCCAGCTGGATCACTCCACTTCGATCTTCACAAGAACTGGGCAAGAACCTGATGCCTGGCTCCTGGTCAAACAGAGGCCAGACTCGGTCAAGGTCCTGCCCTGGTGCCAATCTTAGGTGTCCTAGGCCCAAGCTGGTCTGGGGCCAGCCATGCTTAATGAACATGGTTAGGGGTGAAGGCAGAGCTTAGTACAGGATGCTCTGGCCTGCATCCCTCAGGGCACAGCTGGCCACAAGAAGTACCCATGCCTTTCGTCCTCCTCAGTGCTGGAGCGTATCCCTCCTCACTCTCAGCCGACCTGCCCACCAGAGTCTGCAGGCCCTCTAATCCACGCCTGGGATATGCCTCACTGAAGTGATCTGTACCTCCCTGAAGTGTGCCTCACTGGGAGCCCTGACTCTGCACTGGACTTGCAGTGAGACCTTGGAGGGTGCCTTGTTCTCTCTGGGTACCAGTTTTCTTTCCCCTTTGAAAAATGAACAAGTTGGACTCATCGACTCTGAGTGCCCTGTCAATACTATAATTCCAGAGTGCCCCAGGGATTTGCAGTTATCCGGGCAAAGTGGGGTCAAGTCCCTAAGCCACCTCTCTGGGAGTCAGCTGAACTCTGGAAAGACTCCAGAAACACACCACATCTGGGGATTCAGGAACTGAGCCTCTTCTTCAGGTCCCCAAGTGTAACTGCCCAGGCCTTGATTTGGCCTAACAGTCAGCGTCTTAGGAAAACCCCCTACAGCTGTCCTGAGGACACAGAAGGACCACGAGACCCTACTTATGCTGTGGTAAACTCTGGAGTCAGCAAGAGTGGCAGAGAAGGCAAGCCAGGTCATCCCAGGCCACTGTCACCAGGAGTGTGTACAGACATGATAGAGAGTGAGCGAGGACAGAGGGAGGCTTGAGGTGGGCATGAGAAGTAGACGCTATGGGGGCTGCCATCTTGACTGGCAGCTGTCCCAGGCCTCAGGCAGCACTGCACGGGAATGTTTCTGTCACTGGCTTCTCACTAACCCTGAACCAATGGACACTGGAGGACCCTGGGGAGTGAGGGGTGGGATGGGACAGTGTAGGGGAAGTCAGCCCTTCTGGGGGCCCTCCCATGCTGGGTTGCTGGCTGGCAGCTCCCTGCCCGGAGCAGCAGAGGTTGCTGGAGGATGGAGAGCACTGCTCACAACGGTACCAAAGATGTAATCACCTAGGTTTACAAGTACTTGTAGGACTCACAATAACCCACATTTAGACACCAGAAGTGCTATTTTATATGCTGTTAAGTTTTCCTATCTGTACTTTTTTTTTAAAAGGAAAAAAAATGTAATATTAAACTTGGTGCTTCTCACTGAGAGACTGTTCTCTTGGGTTTCGGTCTGTGTGTCCAGGATTGAGGAGACAGTTTGTTCCAGGCAGGTCTGTCCCTTTGGCTCCGACTCACAGTTACCTTTTTTTAAAAAGTGAGTTTCATTTCCTCCCATCCTGGGAAGTGGTTGGGTGACCGCCTAGGTCTTGTGCTTGGGTTTCCAGGTGTGAAGCGAGGCTTTTCTGGTCATGGTATCTGGAAGGAGAGCGTGGGCTTACAGAGATGCCCAAGCCTTCTCCACCCTGCCCGCCTCACCATGTGCTCTGGCTTTGGCCACTAAGCTGAGTCACCCTCCCTGTCCCACTTCTTGCTGCCCACAGCCAGATTTGAGCTGGGGTAGCTTATGGAGAGGTGCCTACCAGAGTCCGAATCCTAGGTCCTTGAGAGTCGTCACTGGAACCCAGGTAGGAGCAGCTCAGACCAAATACTCAGGAGGGCCAGAGAGCAAGAGAAAGAAAGGAAGGATTAGGGGTGGGGGAGAGACGAAGCACTGAGGGGCAGTGTGGTGGAGTGGGCTAGCAGGAGGGGAAGAACCATGCTGACTGAGGACAGAGGGGTGCAGACCCAGGTGGTTTCAGCATCCCAGAGATTATGGGGTCGGCATATCTATTGCATGAGATAAGCAATCTGGTTTCTGCTGGGTCCTGGCTTTAGGTCACTCTGCTGATCGCAGCCTACAGCACACTGGCCTGTGGGACACCGACATCAGCTCAGGACCAGGGACATTAGAGCTTCCGGGACAGGCAATGGGGAAAGGATTCCAACTCAGGCTGGGGTTCCCAGACCCTCCCACCTCAGCTGTTCGGCGGGGGTCACTTGAGATGGGAGCAAGTTTCGCCTGAGGCCTGTCATTCCTTGTTGTCTGTCTGGCCTTCCCTCACTCTGTGTGAACTGAGGGGAGGGCAGCTCTGGATTCTGGAGCTTCGGGCCGTGGCTCCCAGCGTGAGTAAGAGTGGAGTTATGCTATGCGATAGCCCTGACTCACAGACAGCTGCCGGCTCAGAGGCAGCTGAGACACGGCAGGGGAAACCGCCTGACAAGGGAACCTAGCTACACACTGCTACCTCTCTCTCAGGACTCCTAGCTTTAGAGGACACCCCGAGGCGGAGACACCCTTCTGCCCTGGCTGTGGTAGGCATGGAATAAAGCAACATCCCAATCTGCCTTGCAAAAAGCAAAACTCACATTTCAGACAAGACTTTCTGTGTCTGGGATGCCCTTAACCCTGGTCTTGGAAGTCAGGATCCCCAGCCACCCATCTCAGACTGATTCTTAGGACTGCAGATGCACGACACCCCTCAGACCTTAGTTTCTCCACCGTGTATGGAACTGTCAAGGTCACCGAGAGTGAAGTGCGCTAGAACGCTGGCTGCCATTCACCCAACAGCTGCTATGCCAACGCTGGCTGGCTGTAGCATGTGCGTTATCTTCTCGCCCCCACCTCAGTCCCATGGACACTGTACTTAGTCCAAGTGAGACGAGCATCCCAAGCGACTTTCCCAGTGTGGTTGCTGTGCCAGGCTGACAAGAAACTGTGGTCTGGTTGTCTCCCACCTCAACTTAGGTGGGTGAGGAAGCAGATATCTGATAGCTGGGGACCCAATTCTTGTCTCCTGACTCCAGGCCTTTCTGGATCTGTGTGTCCCCTAAAAGAATGAGTTAGAAGTGCCGGGTAGAAGAGGGGGGAGCTAAGTGACCTGCAGTGCCACCACTAGCATCCAAGGGGAACCCAGCTAAACACAGCTTGAGGAGTGCCCATCAGAGCCCCAGGGGCCTCTACACGGAAGGGATTCTTGACTTCCAGAGAGCAACAGGGTTTCAGGACAAGTCAAAATACAACAAAATCAGAGTGCCCTGACTAGGCAGAAGGGCAGGCCCTTGAAGAGCCGTGTGGGCGCCGGAAGAACACACATAAAGGCTCCGGCAGCTGCTGTGGAAGGGATCCGAGCTCTTAGAGTTACACCGTTTAAGGCAGGTAGCCCATAACTGAAGCGAGGGGGAAGAAAAGTGTGCTGTCCTCGTCACATCTTTACTGGAAACGTCTTTATATTAACGAATGGAATCGCAGGGTGGCTCATGCAGTTACTTCATCAGGCATCCACTCCTGGAAGAACTTCAGCTAAGACAAAGACTTAAATTCACCTACTTCTGCCTCTACTGGGATTAAAGGCAGGTACCACAACGCCTACTTTTTTTTTTTAAGTTAAAAAAAAAAGATTTATGTATACAGGATATGGCTATCATTTGCATGCAATACCTACAGAGACCAGAAGATGGCATCAGAAACCCCCTTCCCCCTTCAATAACTGGAGTAATGGACCATCTTGAGCTGTTCTGTGGATGCTGGGAAAAAGTAGAAATTCTCTCTCTGTCCCTCTCTCTCTCTCTCTCTGTGTCTGTCTGTCTGTCTCTCATATATACATATATATGTACACACACACACACACACACACACACACACACACACACACACACAATGCCTCATCCTTGCAAGGCTCCCAGGAGTGACCTGACTGGGGAGGCAAGGGAATAAAAAAAAAAAAAAAAGACAGACAGACATGCAGAAATACATGGGATCAGGTGGTCTAAGCTAATTTCAGTAGGAGCAGTCTCTGGATGGAACTTTCTTTAGGTGGTAAACATCCATGGAAGAACAGTGGTCCTTTTCTGCATACATGGTCAACATCCACACAGGAACTAGAGGAAGGCTTTGCCAGGTCTGAAGCTATAGGGCCTTTGACATGGCTATGTCCATGTCTACAACACACATTCTCTTAGACCTTCATATACTCAGGGCTTCCTCTGCTCCCCACGATTTACTTTTTCATTGTATGTGTATGGGTGTTTAGCTTGCCTGTGCGTGTAGTGCCTGCAGAGGCCAGAAGAGGGCGTGAGGTCCCCTGGACCTGAAGTGACAGACAGTTGTGAGTCACCATGTGGGTGCTGGGAATTGAACTCAGGTCCCCTGCAAGAGCAGCTAGTGCTCTTAACCACTCTCTCTAGCCATGTAGATCAAAATTTAAAAAAATTAAAAGGAGTTTTGCTTTACACAGATTCCACCAATAGATGAAGACCTGTGTTTTTATCCTAAGCATGTTCTGTCAGCTGTGTTTATAGCCTTGTTTGTGGTATTCTTAGGAAGAGAGTATAGTTCTGCATATGGTTTCTGTGTAGGGAAGTTTCTAGTCTGTATGTAGAAACTCCTGACTCAGGCCACAAAAGGTCAAAGTGGGGGTGGGCGCGACTCTTCCTTGTGTACGCTTTGCCCTTTTCTGTGTTTCTATCCAGTGCCACTGAGGTTGCGTAAAATTAATGAAAAATATTTGGAGAGGAGCTTGAATCTCTGAGGCCTGTTTGGGTTCCTGCTTCTTAGCCTCGCCACACAGGGAAAATAAATGAGCTGGAATTTTCCTTCCAGACAAATGAGCCACCTGGGCCATTCAGTTCTTCCAGATTCCACTCTGAGCCAGGAGTCCTTTATTCCTGGAAAAAAGATGGAAATACTGAAACACGCTGTGGCTGTGGGGCCCTGTATGCCCCGATGAAGTGTTCCCAGCCCCTATCAGCACCCCTTCTCCAGGCTAGGGCCCTGTCCCCATAAGGCCTTGTTTATCTGAGTATGTTATTTAGGTTTGCATCAATTCATTCATTTTGTGGATGTGTTTTAAGTTTATAATTATTATAGAATTTACACCACCACCCTCGAACCCTCTTATGTGCTCTCATGGTTGAAATTCTGATAACACTGTAAATGCTTACCCTCTCTGCTTACGCGGGGATAGGAAATTATCTTACAAGAATTCTTTTTTTCTCGTTGCAAAATTTAGTTACATTTATCTAGGGTTTTTCCTTCTTTGTATTTATGTTAACATTTTTGCTTTGTAAATAATTAAGTTATAATCATTTTTAAAGCTACCACTAGCATTTTGTACCTTTTTGGTTTTTTTTCTTTACAGTATTTTAGCTCAGGGAAACATACAGACATAAATTCATCCATCCTTAGAGCTGCATGAGGTTTAAAGCATCAAGTAGCTACTGATGAGCATTTACGTCGTTTCCAATTTCCCACCTATAAATTACACTGCAACAACCCTGACTTGAAACACGCTGCATTTACACATCTGTGTTTGTTTCCGTAGGATATATCTCCAGCCAGAATTACTGAGTAGAGGATAACCTATTTAAAAATATAGGAGAGGAGGCACACACCAATAATCCCAGAACTCAGGAAGTGGAGGCAGGAGGATCATCATAGTAAGCCCATGTCTTTGTCTGTCTGCCTCTGTCTCTTTCTCTCTGTCTCTCTCTCCTCATCTCTGTTTCTCTGTCTCTCTCTGTCTCTCTGTCTCTCTCTGTCTCTCTCTCCTCATCTCTCTGTCTCTCTCTGTCTCTCTCTCCTCATCTCTCTGTCTCTCTCTCCTCATCTCTCTGTCTCTCAGTCTCTCTCTCCTGGCATTGGGTATGGTAGTGTACAACTGTAATTCCAGCACTCAGGAAGTGAAAGCAGGATAGCAAATTCTAGACTAGGCTGAGCTTCATAGAGAGACTCCCTCTTCCAGTAAACAACAACATCAAAGAGTTACTAGAACCCAAAGTCTGCCTTCCTAATACCTGGGCTTTTGAGTTAGGGTCCCAAAGTAGCTCAGGCTGGCCTACAACTTTCAATGTAGCTGAGAATGACCTTGAACTTCTTCTGATCCTTCTGCTGCACGAAGCACCACACTCCACTGAAAGTTCCCTTTAAAACACACAAAGTTAGAGCTCAAGGAGTGGCTCTGAAGTTAAGAATCCTTTTTGCTCTTACAGAGAGAGGACCCCATTTTGGCTTCCAGCGCCCACATGGGGGCTCACAGCCATGTGTAACTCCAGGTCCAGGGGATCCAATACTCTCTTTTGGCCCCCACAGAGCATTGCAATGCACATGGTACACATGCAACAAGACATGCATACGTGTAAAATGGAAAATAAATAAGAGTATTTAAAAAAGA